TCTATGAGAAATTACGGATCTTCAATGCAATCAAAAGGAGATACTGCAAAGCCTCTTCTTCATATAGCACAAAGTGAATGAACCACTAGCCCAATGGAGCAAATGGACTTCTGCTTTTCCGCTGTAGAATCCCAATGCAAAAGGCACTGCAGCTTCAATCTCCGCAATGTCCTCTTCAGTCAACTTGAGCGACAAGGCTGCGATATTCTCTCTCAGCTGCTCTACCTTACGGCCTCCAACGATAGGAAAGACATAAGGTGCTTTGTGCATCACATATGCCAACGCAACGCTCGTTATAATCGAGTTTTTGCGGTTGGCGACAATCTCTAGCACTTTGCTAACAGTGATCTCCTCTGTGGTTGCCACCACATTGCGTCCGCCTTCGGCCTTGCGTTGCTCTTCGGTCTTGAATCTACCAGCTCCTAGAGCACCCCATGGGGCTAGTGCCATACCTTCGGATTTGACCATGGGGATAATATCTCGTTCAAAGTCGCGTGAAGCGGCGGACCAACGTCCCTGGTATACGGAAAATTGTCGAAGGCCATGGTTTCTGGCATACTCATTGGCTTTGCTGCGTATTCGGTTATTAATCTAGGGATTGGGACCCCAATACCTGATGAACATACCTCACAACCCATGCAGGACTGTCACTAATTCCTAGGTACAAAACCTTCCCGGAAACCACGAGGTTATTCAAGGATTGCATCAACTCTGAAGTTGAGGTGCTGAAATCCCACCAGTGGACATAAAGCTAAAACAGAGGTTAGAAAATATGAGTAATTGCACAGGTGGATAGCAGGGGTGCTCACAATATCAATGTAATCAGTCTGCAGCTTCTTCAAGCTTGCTTCGACTGACACATGGAGACTTTTGGAGCCATTACCGGTATAGTTAGCTTTTATTTTCTTCGAGTCAGGGGCGTTTTCGTAATTTGTAGTGTATTTAGTTGCAATAACTTGAGCGAGACAGGTTTATTAGCGTGAAGGACTGATGCACTCATAGTAGCATGAGTGAAACGTACCCAGCTCGTCACGGTTCTCGCGTTTCTTCATCCATTCGCCAATAATGGTTTCAGACTCCCCCAGTTGATAATTGTTGGACGTGTCAATAAAGTTGCCTAGTATGAAGACATGAGCTACGCATATCTGCTAAGGAATTCATCTATCCAGATGACACAAACCTCCCTAGTTAGTCCTTTGGTTAGTAAAAATAATGACGCTAATTATCTCTCAGACGCATATGACTTGCCTGTTGATAAAAAACGTCAAGAATCTCTTCAGAGGTTTTGCGGTCGCAGTCTCCCAGATATCCTTTCCTACAATCAAAGTTAGAAGATGTCTGTTATTAGCGGCGCCCAACACAAACCATCCTGAGCCAAAGCTCATTGCTCCGAGACAGAGAGGGCTGACTCTCACAGCACCGGATGGGGATAACAGGCGGTATTTGTTCAAAGGGCTAATTGGAGTAGGTACAGCTCCCAGTATGTTTCGGTTGATTTTCGGCGCCATTTTGGATAATTCAAGATCTGAAAGAGTAGGAGAGTATTTTAGCTATGTTGAAATGAAGAAAACTCTGATGAATTTGAGTAAATTGATCGCAGAGACGGAAAGGAAGGTGTTATTTATAATAGCTAGATTCAATGCGGTATATCTTTAATTCAGTCACCCTTGCTTGCCCCTCATTTCTACACACTTTTGTGACATCAATCTTGTCGATTATTTAACTTAGTCTCTTTCAGCGGAGTGTTTTCGATTGAACGGAGATAAAGGGCACCAATCTGCAAGTGAAAGATCCGACCGAACCAATCAGATGCAACAAAATCTTACTTCAGATACCGCATTGGGAATTGGCTCAAAGGCGGATTTAAAGATATTAACTCCAAAATTCCGAAAAACAAGTCTTAATTCTGTGGTATATAACTAAACTAACTCTTGCCTATACACTATTTTCTTTGGTAGTCTTGCCTTTTACTGAATAAAAAGGAATACCAAAACAACCAATTGCTGTTACCGAAGCCATAACAGTTGCTACTAAAAACGTCTGAGTAATAGAGAGGTTATAGGCTGGAAGTATCTCATTTAGCTCTTTCTTAGTAAAGCTAAGCTTTAGACTTAGTACTCCAACCTTCTGAACAAGCTTTGGATCAATATTAGGCGCCGCTTTGTGTAAGTTATCCATTAATTGATTCGTGAAAATGTTTTGCGCAGAAGAAAGGGCTACAATCCCTCCCAAGTTTTGGATAAAACTGACTAGCACTAAGGCAATCGGGAGGTCCTTTCCCGAAAAATTTGTTTGAGTAGCGATAATCGGCTGCTGGAAACCGAACCCAATGCCAAGAGCAAAGACAATTTGGTATACTATCCATAACGCCGTTGGCGTGTCGACATGCAACGTTGTCAGCATTCCTGCGCCAAGCGCCATCAATATGGATCCAAGACACATGGTTGGAGTATAGTAACCGATGATACTCGTTATACTCCCTGATGTTAAGATGGAAACCACTAGAGACAATACCAGCGGAAGGCCACGAACGCCGCTGCTGAATGGCGAGGCTCCTTTGACTGCCTGAAACCAGATTGGTAGCTGTTATCTATAAGTTAGCAACATAGTACATGCCATAGTTTAGTTATACTTACATAGTATACCACAACATACAGCGCCCCAGAAGTATTGAAAGAGTAAAGAGCTCCAAAAAGAACAGTCCTAGTAAGAAATATTCTTGGAGGCACAGTGGCCTCCTCGCCTTTCCGGTATTGGTAAACCCCAAAGGCAAACAAGAAGCATCCGGAGATTATAAATAGCACAAAGACCCTCCAGTTGCTCCAAGCATAGTAACTCCCACCCCACTGAAGTGCCAAGATCAGACACACAATGGCTGGTATAAATAGCGCCAGGCTGGGTAAGTCGAGGCGGCGAATTTTGTCTTTCAGAGTCAACGTTGATTGTTCGACGCTTTGTTCGTTTCCCAGAAAGAGTATTGTGATAACAATAGTTAGGCCTGCAAGGGGCAGAAGAAGCCAGAAACACCACCTCCATCCCAGAGTCTCTGCTATCGCGCCGCCGAGCAATGGTCCAATCGAGATGGCCACGCATTCAATCGCCCCAATAATGCTGGAGTAGACTGGTCGCATTCGAACTGGCACACACCGGGATATTATAATGTTGGTTCCGGCTAATATTCCTGCGCTTCCCAGGCCAGAGATGGCGCGGCCCACGATGAACGAACTGCTATTTGGCGCAACAGCGCATACGAGGCTTCCTACAGCAAAGGTGAAGACAACAGCAGAGAAGACAATTTTAGATGGGTAAAATAGATAGAGTTTTCCGTAAAAGAGTTGTGAAGATGCCGAAGCCAATAAAAAGGCAGCACCATACCAGCCAACGTCGTTGAGTGAATTGAATCTGTCTGTTACAACCGGGATAATAGTCGTCACGCAATTTGCGTCCTGTTGCAATGTTAGCAAAAACAATAGCTAATAATATCGCATGGCATGTTCCGCATACATAGCCGCACACTATTGTTGCTAGTATTATTGAGAGGAGGTTGAGAAATAATGGTATACCGCGAGGATATTTTGAGTCCTCTTGAGCTGGAGCAATCTCGGAGGTTGCATGTTCAGCTTCAGTGGTTTCTCTCTTTGGGCATTCCATGATTACAGCTCAATAAAAAAGCGAATATGTCTTTGAACTTTCCAAATTACAGCCGCGAAACAAAGTGAACCCATCCAAGGTCGTCCCATATATCCAAATTATCGTTTTCTTCACAACGCACTTACATAGGCTTATGTTAGTGGGGGCGCGGACCAGATTAGCCAATCGGACCTCTACTCCTCTCGGAGCTCGGAGTGACAAGGATACGTCCTGGGACGCGCATGAGTACGGCAGCTTGCGGACGGTTGCTTGTAGCCAGAGGCGCTGAGTACGGACCTCGGCCTTGTTACCTTCATGCGCCTGTTAGCTGAATGACGGGTTTGAAGGGCTGTGCTGTTAACGACAGCATGCCTAACACAATCCGAGATGCTCCGACCCCGCGACGGAATATTCAGTTCGGATTGAATGGGCCATGGTTTTCGCTTCTTACGTAGTTAGGCAGATTTTCTCTTGTTCAAACTTCCGCTACAAAGAATCCACAGTGGTCTACTACACCACCCAGTCGACTGTACTTTGTTCAGGGTAGGTGCATCCACCAAGTAGATAATGATGATGAACAATATAATGACTCATCAAACGAAGCTACATAGACCAATCGGTAGAAAGCTTTTGAGTAAAAGTAAATACGTTAAGTGTCTCAATGAGCAGAGCCGTCTAATACACTCCTGACTACCCTAACGCCACTGTACCACTTGATCCAAATTAGCAACTTTGGAAGCCCCATAGTCGCAATCTATCATATAGAGATTGAGTCTTTAGGTAGCTTGCCTGTTGACTGATTGGTTGGGCTTCAATGGCTTCTCTGTTTACCTGAGTGTATGTTCTGATTCGATGAATAATGCAAGATATCACAAAGCCTTGAGGTTAACTATAGTCTGTGGATACATATTTTTGTATTTGATACTTCGTATTTCTTCGTATTTAATGTGCTGTCTTGGATATTTATAACAGATACTTTGTATAGCCCAATTCAACTCCGGACAACAGTCTTTAATTGGATCCTACATTGTGCTTATTTCTAACTTTCTAGTCTTTTATCGTAGTTAAGAACAGCACCTAATAATACTTGAGCGCCATTGCCGCTTGACTTATGGTTAGTCGCTTCAGAGTAATGCCATATGGACATAGGGACTTACCAGTCTCTTTCGCTGGTGAATTCCGCCGGTGCATGGCTGATGCCATCTCTGCTTGGTACGAAAATCATTGAAGTCGGCACCGCCATTGCTGTTAATGCACTGTCGTGGCCGGCAAAGCTCGCCATCTCCATTAGCTGGCCCGCTCCGATAGCGTCGCATGCCGCGTCTTGGGTGCATTTGATGGCTGCAGGATCGAGATCGACAGCGGGGCTGTGCCAAGTGCGCTCAATTTGAAAGTCAAGCCCGCTATTCTCAGCTTTAAGTAAACTTGCCATGGCATCGATCGCAGACTCAAATTTCTCCAGGATTGCCTCTGATAGGTGGCGAATATCCATTGTGAAGCTGGCCCAACCAGGTACTGTATTCAATGATGGGCGCTCCAAATTGAGTACTCCCACTGTTGCGACTGCGGAAGTAATGAGAGCTTGCCTGTCGAGGAACGAAATGAATTTTGCTGTCGCAACCAATGCATCTGCGCGCTCCTGCATCGGAGTTGCTCCAGCATGGTCACGACGGCCCAAAACTTGTACTCGATACCACCGAATACCCTGGATCTTTGTCACAATGCCAATCCTCCTTTGTGAATCTTGTAGCTTTCGATTTTGCTCAATGTGAAGCTCAAAGTGGGCTGAGAGCGGATTTTCTTTGTGGCTAGCCTTCGTCTCTCCCAGATAGCCAATGGATGAAAGCGATTCCTTCATGGTTGTTGTATTTGACGTATCTGGCATGGCATGGGCAACTTCTAGCGATATATGTGAAGCCCAAACCGCAGAACCAGTGCAGCCTGGAGTGAATCGTACCCCTTCCCTGTTATTCGAATTAGTCAGATGCACCAGATTAGAAGCCGGAAATTGGACTCACTCATTCGTCCAATTAATGACAGCTACCGGAGCATAGGTCTGAATATTATTCTCCTTCATTGTTCTCAAAACCTCCAATCCAGCTAAAACTCCGAGTATACCGTCAAATCGGCCGCCTGTTCCATCTTTAGAGTTACTGATACCTCACGACTGAGATAAAACTCACCGGCAGGTTGTGTGTCAAGATGACTGCCCATCCCAATTGGCGGTATGTCATTGTTTCGTCCTGGTCGAATGGCAAATATATTGCCCATCTCATCAGTTCGTACCAGGCAGCCCAGCGATCTAGCCTCCGTAGAAAGATAGTCTCGCACAAGCTTGTCATCAGCACTTAATGATAGCCTATTCATGCCTTGCTTCAATGACAGTAGCCCAAAACAGGAAGTCTTGTGTATCTCCTCCCAGAGTCGTTTTTGGTTGATTCGATACACAGCTCCTTGTGTGACTGTAGGTGAACGCAAATCATGAGATTCCATGCCTTCTATTTGGCGACTTGTTACATTGGGCTCTTTCTGACAGTGGCTGGCCAAAGGAACTCGACTGCCCTGGTAGTCCGCTTGGCGAGGTTGGAAATCCAAACAGGAATCCTGCAACAATTGATTCCGCAATTGATTGAACATTTTCGTATTAGTTACTGAAAGCACACTAGATGTATCTCCGTTCGCAATCGGCTCCAGGCATGGCTCGTGGGCGGAAACTTTGTACATGTTTCGATCTTGCGCTGTTAATGTCTCTTGCTAAGGAGTAAAACAATTGTGAAGATGTAGCGCTAAAATATATAAGGCAAATAAGGCAGTTGTTCTTGTAGCGATACGAACTATCCAAGACTATGAGCAATTGATAAGGTCACTGGTATTCGTTTCCCAGAGCCCAACTCCGAGCTCCGAAAACAACCGTGCAACGGACATCCACCGGACATCCATCATGACATTCAAAAACAGTCTAGGAAATTATGAGATCCGTAAGGCTGCTAGCGCCAACGACGCAAGCTGCTGGAATCCCATGAGTTCCGGGTAGGCCGATTCCAGAGACATACAATCTGTCTGTCTGCTCCGTACAGCAATTCAGCCGAGTAAGCTTTCCAGATGTGTTTACGCTTTCGATTACGCATTTCAAATGGCATGCTGTTACTGCTGAGTTCTGGCGAGGTCTCCAACTGTTGCGCAGAATTTGTCACTTGTAAGAGCGGCCAAACCACGATTTATCTGACAATTCCCCATCTTAATTAAGCGCTTGCTACAAACAGATAGAATACAGTTACAAAGCCGCTGGACGCAAACCACCTTATACTATGCGGGTACCTCTTAAAGCATGACAAGCTGCCCTATGTAGACCCCCAAACTCCGCTGTGTCGTGAAACCAGGGCAGTGAGTTCTGCCGTTCACTTCCAGATTTTGCTGGGGAAACAGGGTATGTCTCCGTCACGTAATTTCCAGAGAATAGGCCAACCTCGAATCCTAGTGGCCCCTCCCCAACTGTTGACCTTTGGCAGGCGTCTACAAGCTCTGGTAGCGGCAAATAGACCAGCCCGTCGGCGCCAAGATTGGCACAGACTTCTTCATCGGTGCGCTTGTGAGCCACCAGCTTCTCTTCGTCCGCGAGGTCAATTCCGTAGATGTGTTTAAATCTAAGACAATTGGCTAACCACACTTTAACAACGAAAGGGAGGTTTAGCGTACCTAATGGCTGGTGAAAGGCTGGCCAAGTAAACCTTGCGAGCCCCCGCCTTTCTGGCCATGGCCACGATTTCTCGAGATGTAGTGCCTCGGACAATGCTATCATCTATGATAAGCACGTTCCTGCCCTGGAACTCAGCATTGACGGTGCTCAATTTGCGCCGCACTCCTCGAAGACGCTGCTCTTGGTTGGGCATGATGAAAGTTCTGCAAGAGTGTTGATTGCGAACGAAACCGAGGCTGACAGGTTTGCCAAGAGCTCTTGCCGACTCTAGAGCACCGATATAGCCACCGTCTGGCACAGGGATGACACAGTCAATTGCCTTGACAGCTGGTCCAAGCTTGCTTTTCACAGCTCGAGCCAGTGCCTCACCCATTTGTCTGCGGCTGTCGTAGACACTGATGCCATCAATTACACTGTCGGCCCGGGCCAGGTAAACATATTCAAAGATGTCCGGTGCGTATGACTGGGGAGCGACCACTTGATGAAAGTGCGGTTGATGGTTGCCTCGCCATGAAGACGGAATTAGAACCATTTGCCCTGAGAGCGTCAGCTAATGGCCGCAAGGCGCGGGCTCTAGTACTAACCAGGTTTGAGGTCTTGGAAATGCTCGAATCCGAGCTTTTGCAAGACAACACTCTCACTTGCGATCGCGAAGTCTGAACCAGAAGATCCCAGACTGCGCTCGCCAAAAACAAGCGGTTTGATTCCGTAAGGATCTCGAAACGCGACTACCCCAAACGAAGGGATCATGCAGATGCACGCAAAAGATCCCTGGCAGCGCCTATACACCTCTAAAATTGCGGACAGTATTTGGCTTGGAGAGGCTTCGGATTCACGTCCGACCCCTAGAGCTGAAATGAGCACCAAATACATTAACTCTGTGTCGCCAGCGTTATCTCCTGGTTCAAGCCCGTCTCCGCGAAGCTCTGCTTTTAACTGCTGAGGGTTGGTCAAGTGCCCATTCTGCTTTGGTTAGCGAGCATCCAGCTGTGTCGCTCATGAAGATGCAGAAAACAGTACATACGTGACTGAGACTGGTTCTGTGGTAGCCATCCATAATGATGGGCTGAATTTGTGAATCCGCGTGGTTGTCATTAGTGGGATAGCGCACTAAATCTACTATTAGGCCTGAATACGGTCATGATCATTACGGGCGGTTTTACTGACCATGCCCGATACCTTCGCTGCCACGCAGATTGTTGATGGAGCGCGATTCACTCTGAACGAAGTCCATCACAAGGCCCCTTCCTTTGGCGACTCCAGAACGGCCTACGGCACCCTGAACGGCGAATCCACATGCATCTTGGCCTCGATGCTGAAGTAAAATGGACCCTTCGACCAACTCGCCGGCCACATCTTTCTTTGGGTCCGCGTAACTGAGACCGATGACACCACACATTGCTATAAACTTGATACCAACAAAAGTCAAGAGCAGGAGAATAAATTTCTACTTAATTTAGCTGCGGAGACTATATCTATCTTTCAACAAACACACACGCAAATATATATCTGTATATACATCTTTATTTAGACTATATGCGAGGAGAAGACAGGTGAAATGCTGTGTGCGCCGTTGTGCTCCGGCTGCATGCATGAGCTCCGAGGCGCATCGGACCACTCCACATTAATTAATTTACCAGTACCAAAGTGTGTTTACCAGCGTCGAGCTCCGGTATGTTATATTGAAGCGGATCGGACTACTGCTAAGATTGCTCCGACGTTGTTATCACACCTCTGCTACTCCTCACTGACGCCTCAGTCCGTGTACAGCACGTATAAACATCTACGTCTCGGACGATACTGCAGTCATAGAAAGCATACAATAATGGCCCAACAGTATTTCTTAGGGCCGAACTCCGATGCTATTTGGCTCTTTAATTTGTAGTGCTGCACCCGTGTACGAAGCTTTAAACTGTCGTTATACTCCTGTACGAACTCAACGATCACACAATCAAATCATTATCCACGTCGAAGCAAGTTTTCCATACATTCCCATCTAAGTGTATTCGCAGTTGCATCTTTGCCAACATGCACCTCGCCGAAGAGCAACCGTTGTTTGTGCAGTTCAGCTCACTGGCACCTGAGCGATTCTCGGAAACCTCAATCACTCCTGCAACGGAAACGGAGCGTATTGTCCATAGCCTCGTCGCAGATGTCATTGGCATCGAAGAAACTGCATTTGGTGTTGAGGATGACATATTCCGGCTGGGAGCTAATTCCATCACTGCGATGAGTCTTGCCTCTATTGCGAGGACAAAAGGCCTCTGTATAACAGTGCCACAGATTCTCCAGAATCCCACAGTCCAACAGATGGCCAATTTGATCCAGAACACCTCGCAGGGAAAATTTATCCCCCCCGGCAAACCGACGGGGTCACCCAGCCTCTCGCAGAAACCGGGATGCACGCAAGCTTTGCGGCAGCTTGTATCAAGAAAATGTCACATCGACGAGTCATTGGTTGAAGCCGCTTATCCGTGCACGTCTCTTCAAGAGAGTCTTTTCTTACGGTCAATAAAAGATGCAGGCTCGTATATGATCCGATACGAGTGGGCCATTCCCGGGCATCTCGACCTCCCAAAATTGAGAGAAGCATGGGACTTTGTCATTCAAAAATATGACATACTTCGAACCCGATTCGTCGAAGATGATGAGTCAACCATCTGGCAAGCTGTCATACCTGAGAAGCTCCAGTGGCGAGTTATAACAAACAAAACTCAGATGAAAGACAAATTCAACACAGGCTTTGGCAAACCGTTGCTACGCCTTGGTTTGTTTCAAGGTCAAAGCACGGAACAAACCTCGTCGTTTATTTTTGAGGCACATCACTCGATTATGGATGCCTGGAGCTGCGACTTAGTGCTCGACGCATTCTCGACTGCTTACAACAGCCAATTAGCTGCCAGCCAACTGGCAACAAACAGTCCTCAATTTGGCTCTTTCATAGATTATATTTCCAGCATTGACGAAGAAGACTCCAAAATGTTCTGGACACAACAGTATAGTGGTTTCAGAGGGCATCGGCTTCCGCTCCGGTCACCAGCATTAGCAGAACCGAGAGACTGTCTAAAGGCTCGGGTGCTCTACAAGTCTTCAGAAACCTCGCCATTCACAGTATCGGAATATCTGAGAGCAGCGTGGGCGATTGTAATCTCGTCCTTCTCGGAAGAGACTGACATTGTTTTTGGTATTGTTGAAAGCGGGCGAGACATCTCTCTATCTGGTATTGAGAGTATTATCGGCCCAACAATTGCGACTCTGCCTGTGCGAACCCAAGTTTTTCCCACGGAGCAAATCATCGACTTCATGCAGAAACTACGCCATCAGCGAGCGCAAATGGTGCATCATCAGCATTTTGGGCTGCAAAATATAGCCTCTGTATCTGCTGAAGCAGGTAGAGGCTGTGAGTTCCAAAGCCTGCTCGTCATTCAGGCGCCGGTACAACGGAGAAAGAATGCAGTGCTGCGCGTTGAGGACGCGGCGGTCGGTGTAGCAATGACAGACTACCCCATTGTTTTGGAGTGCTTCCTCGAGGAAGGTGGCGTAGGCTTTGTTCTTGATTACGATGCTTCAATGATAGCAAGTGCAGACGCAAAAAAGCTATTGGCGGGTATCAGGACGGCTTTCCAGCAGCTACGCGAGGGATTAACCGAGCGCCTATTGAGAGACCTGACACCTACCATATCTACCGACAAGTTGAAGCTCGAGAAATTAAATTCGAATCTACCACGATATGTAAAAGAGAAGATTCATCACCTGATCTCAGATCAAGCGCGAAATGAACCCTTGGCTCCAGCCATTATGTCCTGGGATGGGGAGATGAACTTCCGTCAGATTGATCAGACTTCCACTCGATTAGGGGAATACCTTAATTACCTGGGATATGGAGCTGAATCTGTTATTCCTGTCTGCTTCGAAAAGTCGATGTGGTATATCATCGCTGTTCTAGGAACACTGAAGGCTGGCGCCGCGTTTCTACCCTTGGACCCATCCCAGCCTATCGGACGCCTGCATGAGATAATCGGCCAAATACAAGCCGACGTTTGTCTGGTATCTGGAGAAACTGACTCGCTTTTCCCAGCTCCGCAGTTTAAAACTATAACGGTTTCTAAAGATGGCTGGCCGCTGCGCAATGCTAACGATGGCCTTTGCTTGTCGAAGGCTGATAGCACAGGCAATCCAGAAAATCCAAGGCAATCATCCAATCTTGCGTACATCATTTTTACCTCGGGAAGTACGGGAAAGCCAAAAGGCGTAATGATCGAACACGACTCGTTCTGCTCTGGAGCTTGTGTGCGAGCAGAGCGGATACATCGTAACAAAAACTCGCGAGTTTTTAGCTTCTCTTCCTACAGCTTTGATACGAGTATTGAAGACGTACTGACAACTTTGATCGTTGGTGGCTGTGTCTGCATTCCTTCAGCGCATGAGTGCAAAAATGAATTGGCCGACGCCATCCAGCGTTATCGTGCCAATACTCTCGACACGACACCTTCGGCAGTTGCTGCAATGTCTCCAGAGGACAGTCCAGGACTCACAACAGTCATCTTGGGAGGGGAGGCAATGACTGCCGACAATGTAGCCAAATGGGCATCCCGAGTTACTCTGATCAACACCTACGGGCCAAGCGAGTGCTCTATCGTCAGTACAGTGGCTCCTCCGGCAAAGATGAATACCGATCCATCGAATATTGGTCACGGTGTCGGTTGTATCACTTGGGTTGTGGATGAAAATGACCACGAAAGACTCGTGCCTATTGGCGAAGTAGGAGAGCTCCTCATAGAGGGGCCAATTGTTGGGCGCGGCTACCACGGGGACGAAACCAACGAAGCCTTCCTTGGCAATACGAAATGGCGTTCAACCTTCAGTTTGAAATCCAGCTGGAGAATTTACAAGACGGGTGACCTCGTCCGATATGCAACTGACGGATCTATTATCTTTGTGGGAAGGAAAGACAGCCAATGCAAAATCCGGGGCCAGCGCGTCGAGATTGCAGAGATTGAACATAGGTTGCGAGATGTCATTGCGCACGAGCAGATAGCAGTCGAATGCATTCCACTTCCCGACCTGGGGCCTACCATTGTTGGGTTTCTGGGAGAGAGAACAAAGGATGAAAGCAGTGACGCCGCACTTCACGCGGCAAGTTCGCTGCCCCCGATGTTGAGCAGCATCCAGTCTCATCTTGTGACTGACCTACCTACATATATGCTTCCCTCATTTTACGTCGAGGTCAGGCACTTTCCTATGCAAATCTCTGGAAAGCTTGGTCGCGCAGCGCTCAGGAGCATTTTCATGAAGCTTTACAAAACGCAATATAGCAGCCGCAACACAGTGGCCGCAACACTAAGTAAGAAACAACCCCAGCATTTTATTGGAATGGCCCTTCAAACTCTCTGGGCTCGGCAACTGGGTATCACAGCCACTAATATAGGTCTACACGATACATTCTTTGCACTCGGTGGAAACTCTCTCAAAGCCATGCAGCTTGTCGCCCAATGCAGAAAAGCCGGTCTTTCTTTAACGGTAGAAGATATATTCAAGGGTCCCAGCCTGGAAGAGATGACTGCCGCAGTTGTCTCACGTGTCAGTGCCACCGCGATGCCCGGCTGTGATGACCAAAACAACGCCGAACTCTCTCGGCTCCGTGACACTATTCCCACGATTGACAACGCGACCACCCAAGAAGTTTGCGCGGCTTGTGGGATAACAGCCAACCTCATAGAGGATATATATCCGTGTTCACCGCTGCAGGAACTATTCATGCGGGGAAGCCTACATCAGCCAGGGTCATACATCGCCACTCACATATTCAAGATTGCTCATGACGCAGATCCACACAAGTTGATTGAAGCCTGGTCTACAGTAGCCGATGATAGTTGCATCCTCCGAACGAGATTGGTACAGACTGAGTCTTCAGGTCTAGTGCAGGTCGTTCTCCGCGAGAAATTGGCATGGAAAAGCGCGGCAACATTAGACGAATGCCGCCGCAACTCCGAGCACATGGCTATACATTCTGGCTCTCCCCTGTCCCAGCTGTACTTGGTTGAAGGAGAGGATTCCTACTTGGCCTGGACTGCGCATCATGCCATCTATGATGCCTGGATGCTGGATCAACTGACCGAAGCTCTTCGAGCGGCATATGATGGCACCTGGGTCCGCCCAAAAGCTGATTATCGCGATTACATCCGATACCTCAGGACATTGGATTCTGAAGAGACTCGACGATTCTGGAAGAGTCAGCTGGCGTCACCGTCTTCTGTTGGTCATTTCGTCAAACAAGACCAACAACGCCATACTCTGCGAATGGAACGCTCACTCGAACAGACTATCCAAATTACATTTCCCAATACGTCCAATCTTGCATTCTCAACATATATTCGCGCGGCCTGGGCATTGACGGTCTCGGAGTACGGTGAATCTCAAGATGTCATATTTGGGATTGTTTTAGCCGGACGCGCACTACAACTTACCGATGTGGACACAATCATCGCCCCAACAATTGGCACCGCACCATTGCGAATTCAGCTTGACAGCAAATCTACAGTTGGCAATTTTCTCTCGCTTGTGCAAAACCAAAGTGCCTCAATCATGCCGCACGAGCAGTTTGGAGTTCAAAACATCAAAGGATTGAGCCAAGACTGCTGGGAAGCTTGTGATTTTGAGTCACTTTTGGATATACATCCCATGGTTGGTCATGTGCACTCCGACGCAGTCCTTGAACTTGAAAGCTCTCGAAATAACTCTCAAGCATTTCACACTCACCCGCTAGTGCTAACATGCCGTCCGCACCAAAACAGTCTTGATTTGGAATGCGTGTTTGACGAGAGTATGATTGATCAGACGCAAGCTTTGCAAATGATGCATCATTTTGCTCATATGCTGCAACAGCTCGTCCGAGTAGATGGCGTTCAGTCTTCAACTCAATTAGCCACCGAAGGCACAGTGGCAGATCTGGAACGTATTTCTCCATTCGACAAAGCACTGGTTCATCAGTGGAATTCCTCTGAATACTGCGCTGTTCCAAGTTTCATTCATGAGAAGGTGCGAGCACAGGTGATGTTGGATCCCAACCGTTCGGCGATCGAGGCCTGGGATGGAAATTTCACGTATGGGGAGCTTGATATCTTATCGTCAAGATTGGCTGTTTACCTGCAAAACATTGGAGTCGATGAAAAGCCCATCATACCGCTCTGCTTCAGTAAGTCGGCATGGGCCGTCGTTGCTATGCTTGCAGTCCTCAAAGTTGGTGGAGCTTACGCCGCTCTCGATCCATCGCACCCTCCAGAGAGGCTTAGAACGATGGTTAAACATACGAAAGCGACAATTGTGCTGGTGGGAAAGGAACACGCGGCAATGTTTGACGGCCAGGTCAAGCATGTCGTTGTTCTTGATGACCTGCTCTTGGCAGAACTCCCTCAGTCTCCAATCAAGCTGACCTTCAAAACCACTCTTGATCCTCAGGATGCGGCGCTGATTGTATTCACCTCTGGCTCCACCGGTATCCCCAAAGGAGTCGTTCTGCAGCATGACGCGTTCTGCACACTCGCCGACGGAATGGCTGCAGAAATGAACTTTAGCGCAGATAGTCGAGTCCTACAGTTCGCCGCATATGCCTTCGACGTCAGCAGCAGCGAAATATTTCTAACATTGATGCATGGTGGATGCTGCTGCATTCCTAGCGACGCAGACCGCCTGAGCAATCTCGCCGGTGTCATTGCAAATTTCAGAATCAACTGGCTCTATCTCACGCCAACAGTTGCAAACCTTGTGTTGCCTGAAGATGTCAAGAATGTTAAAACTCTTGTTCTCGGAGGCGAGGCTGCTAGGCAGGAGCTCATTGATAGATATGCCAATCGTACTTGCTTGATCAACAGTTACGGGCCCGCCGAAGGTACTATCTGGCCATCAATGGCCAAGTTCAGCCCAAGCTCATCGCCCTCAGATATCGGGTCCGGAACACGGTGCCACATGTGGCTGGTGGATCCAAATAATCACGATCAGCTTGTGCCGATTGGAGTACCGGGCGAGATACTGTTGGAGGGTCCTATGGTTGCCCGCGGGTATCTCTTTGACGAAGCCAAGACGAAGGCAGTTTTTATTGATCCGCCAAAATGGGCTACGCCCCGACGAGATGGACTTCGACGCAGGTTTTATAAGGTTGGCGATATGGCTCGACAGAAAGCGGATGGGACTCTGATCTTCTTGGGTCGAAAAGACACGCAAGTCAAGCTACGAGGTCAACGAATAGAGCTCGGCGAGATTGAATTCCGCATTGCCAAAAACTCTCCAACTATCAAGGCTGCCGCAGTCGAGGTTGCTAATCTAAACGGGCACTCGCAAGTCCTAGTAGCTTTCATTAACTTCTCAAGCAATGTGGACATATGCTATGACAACAACATTGGCGCAGTAACAACTTCTTTACGCAATGATTTGATAGCTCTGCAGGAGAGCCTCTCGAAGCATTTGCCGCCTTATATGATACCCTCGTTTTACGTCCCCCTCGAGCAATTACCAAAGACATTATCCCAAAAACTAGATAGACGCGCTCTAAGGACCTTGTTCGAAAACATTCCGCGATCTAGCCTGAAAGACCATTCGCTTTCATTTCATTCCACAAGAAAACCATCTTCGCCTCTAGAACGACAAGTGCAGTCACTTTGGGCTAGCATACTAAATATTAAGCCCCAAGACATTGGTATGAATGATAGTCCTATGAGACTGGGTGCTAACTCCATGACGGCGATCCAAGCTTCCACGTTGGCAAGAAAAGAAGGTTTGAATATGCCAGTGCCTACAATCCTTCGTGCAAAAAGCTTAGCCGAAATATGCGATGCTACTTCTCCGATTAGACATCTGGAAGAACAGCCATTGCAACCATTTAGCCTTCTCGAAAAGAGAAAGGAGCCGGACTTCCAAATACTCATGGCTGATATCGAGAACCAATGCAATGTCATTCAGACCCAAATCGAGGATGCATACCCCTGCACGCCTCTACAAGCAGGAATGATCTTACACTCGGAGAACCGGCCAGGCTCCTATGTTACACAGCGAATATTCCCACTTGACCCAGAAATTGACATTGATGGGTTCAAAACCGCTTGGAACAATGTTGCCAAAGTCTGTGACATTCTCCGGACTCGTATAGTCTCATCGGAGGCGTGGGGCCTAGTGCAGACGGTTTTGGACGAGACAATTGTTTGGGCCGAGACAAAAGATCTCCAGACTTACCTTCACAACGATCGACACTTGGCTTTTGACTTTGGAGCTCCACTTATGCGGTTTTGTATTGCCGAACAACGTGATAATGCGGTTCGTCAATTCATCTGGACAACTCATCACGCTGTATACGATGGCTGGACGATAAATCTCCTCTTGCACCTAGTAGACCAACAATACCACAAGGGCTCCATCCCGTCGCCGCCTCGATTTGCCGCGTTTATACAAAACATTCTTTCCGCTAATCAATCTGAGGCAGCTACATATTGGGCACAGCTGTTGAATGGTTTTGTACCTCCACGTTCCCAGTTGGCTAAATCATCGATTGAGAAGAGCCCGCTGCCGAAGATTGTGAAGCTCTCTATTGAAGATTTTGGTACAGGGCAATGTCCAGTCACTGGGCCTTCGTTAATTCGAGCTGCCTGGGGTCTTCTGCTTGGAAACTACTACGACTCACGAGATGTTACGTTTGGAACCGTCACCAACGGTCGCAGCGCCGCAGTCACTGGAATCATGGACCTGTGTGGCCCTACAATGTCCATCATCCCAACGAGGGTCAAGATTAATGATGAAATGAACCTGCATTCGTTGCTTATGGATATTCAGAACCAAGGTCTCGAGGCAATGCCGTTTGCGCAGCACGGCATGCAGTATATCCAAAGAATCGATCCTAGCACACGAGCTGCATGCCAATTTGAGACCCTGCTCGACATTGACATTCAGAGCGACAAAGCCGTTCCGAAGATCTTCAGCTCTGAAGAACGCTCAGGGAATCTGGAGGCTTTTCATACTTATGCCATTGTCTTGAGTGCTAGAATCGTTAGCGGCAGGCTCGAGTTTGAAATGGAATTTGATTCTCGTCGAGTCTCGGAAGGTCACATACATGGCATCCTGGGGGGCTTGGACCGGCTAATCCAGCAGCTAAAACACAGCTCAGACACGTCAAGTGTTGGTGCTCTGAAGGCGACTCTGGAAGGCGAAACCGGAACCCCGGAACCTAATTTGACACAGAGTGTCGCTTCCCTCCCGCCCCAGCAGGAAGCGGCTCTAAGCAACCTGGGTGAAAAACCGATAGAACGTCACTTCCACTTGGAAATTAAGTTACATGAGCTTCTTTCCAAGGTATTACAGGTAGATCCGGCCGAAATTGGAATCCACGATCATTTCATAGCAATGGGAGGCGATTCAATAAGCGCCATGCATCTTGCCTCTTTAGCACGTCGCAATGGCATTCTCTTGAGGGCATCAGATGTATTTCGCCACCCAACGATATATAGTATGGCTCAACAATGCTCAAAATCAATGATAGACTCAACAGTCGACATTGCGCAAGGCCAAAACCCGACAGCACGACCACGGGATGACGCCGTTCGAAGGCACGTCTCGACAAGCTTAAAGATACCTATGAACGACATCCAAGACGTCGTTCCAGCAACGGACTTTCAAAACTGGGCTGTTGCTGGCGACCTGATGAAAAGTCGAGGATGGAGCAACTACGTCATCATAACTTTTTCTTCTCCTCTCAATAAAGAAAAACTCCTCACAGCGTTCAACACTGTGATTACACGCAATGCGATTTTGCGAACTGCATTCGTAGCGTTCGGTTCGCAAATTCTTCAAATTGTGCGAAGAGAACCATATGTAAAGCACGAGCACGTCCTCCGGAATGCCGATGTTCAACAAGAAATCCATGCCTGGGTCGACTCCATGATTGCCAATGGTCAAGTTTCAGCGATCAGCGAGGGTAGTGTACGCATGATGACCGCCGGCCCTACTAGCGAGAGTGTCTGCGCGCTTGCGATGACGCTTTCTCACGCTCAATCCGATGCAACGTCTTTATCACACATCGGGTCAGACCTATCCGACGCCTTTGACGGTCGCGTGCTGCCGACTCGTCCAAGCTTTTCCATTTTTGCAGCAAAGATAGGCAACACAGAGCCGCAAACAGAAGCCGAATGTTTCTGGCGAACGGAGCTGCATCGTGCACACATGACGAAGATAACACAGCTCTCACCTCCAAGTCATTCGTATCAATATCCTGTCGCCAAGACTTATAAACGAACAATCCCGACTCCAGAAGGCCGAAAGCATACTTTTGCGACCGCTTTGAAAGCTGCCTGGGCTCTTACACTGGCCAAGTATACCAAGCAGAACGATGTCGTGTTTGGCCATCTAGTGTCCGGTAGAACGCTTCCTATCTCGGGCGTGGAGGACATGGTTGGGCCCTGCGTTAACATCGTTCCTGTGAGAATACGGATTCGCCCTAGCATGACAGCCGAGAATCTCCTAGAAACAATCCAAGACCGCTATCTTGCTTCGATGCCTCACGAAACTCTGGGTTTGAATCGTATTGTGGAAGCTTGCACAGCGTGGCCACGGTCTACACGATACAGCTCGATCTTGCAGCATCAGAATATTGACGACGTTCCCTCATTAACGTTTGATAATGGGAAGACCGAGGCCAATGTGAGCCTTCGATGCCCTTCACATGATTCTACGGATATATGGGTTATCTCTATTCCCAAGGGCAATACGATTGAAGTCACTCTAAGTTGTAACGATAACCTTGTCTCGCCCTATGAGGCTCAGAGTCTCCTGGGAAGTCTTGTTCAGAAGATAGCCATGTTTACGTCCGATGATGCTTGCATAGTAATTGCTCAGGATAAAGTCGAACAGGAACGTGACGAAACGTGCAGTTTGCCTCGAGAGCGTGATGAATTGCAGCTGGTCATCGACGGCGGAGTCCGCTTGGGAGGACAGGAACCCAGCTTAATACACAAGGTTCGAGGCATTTGGCAAAACGTCTTATACACTAGCGCTGAAGAGGTTGATGATATCTCTCCAACAACGCCATATTATGAAATACGCGGCGGCCATGCAGCTACAGTGCTATTGCTAGCACAGTACAGAGCTCAAATTGCCTCAGACATTACAATGGAAGAGGTCATCGATCATCCAACTCTAGAAGGCCACGCTCGACTTCTTCTTGCAAAGCAAAAGACAAAAGGGCTTGAGTCGAGGAGTAGCTAGTTGGACTGAGGTGAAGCGATTTACCACAAATTGGTCCTGCTAAGAGCCAGCTTGCTGTCTCGCCGCCATCAATCGCAGTACGCCAGGGCTTGTCCAACGAGATGCGTAAGGGGGTTTTTTTTTCACGTTTCATCGCTTTCAAGATACATAGAATTTTAGAGTAAGCTACCTATATACAAAGCTTTATTTCGTCCTCAAGCTTACCGCCTCATTAACATCAGTAGTAGTAATCGTCAAGGTCTCCGAAAAAGTTTGTAGGAGGTTTCAGCATCTCTAGCCATGGTTCTCCTTGGAAGTCGACAGTATCCAGCCATGCTGCCCACTGCAAATCTTGAGTAGTAGTTTCCAAGTTCTGGGCCTCAGGAGGCTCTGCCGATAGCGCATCGTACATATCCACGGTTGGACTGTCCGGTGGCGAACGTGCTAAAGGCATCTCATGATTGAGGATCTGGTCTAGAGCTTTTGAGAAGATCAACTGAGCCTGTTTGCAGAGCTCATAATTCCCTTTTCCTGACTCAGTTAGCCAGTCGCAGCACGATATGAGAACGCTAATGTCCTGAATAATGGTCGACCTGTTCGACGCGGCGGATGGCTGTGGTTTTGGCAGGCTAGCTAGTCGAAACAATTCCAGAATCAAAACGCTCGCGCATGGCATCGCGTAAAATACTATCTGCAGCGTGTCAGTTCGCACCAGCAATGGAAGCCTAGAGCTGTTTACCGTCCATTCCAAATCGATCCTATGGGAGCCTATGAGATCTCTCTTTTTCATTACTGAGAGCACTAACCCTAGGGTCTCGTGAGAGATTTGAATCAATGCATGACGATAGCCACTGCTTTGGTTCACTAGCATCTTGTATAGTAGGAATCTGCTATACAGATACTCAAGCTTTAGGCTCAGAAGCATTATGATTGTCGAAGGCGCCATTCGGCCCCATAGGGATGGCTCATATTGCATAAAGTGTGGCATAGTCTCCCAGATCGACGACGACCGAGTCAGTATTTCCCTGAATAAGCATGTCAGCCTGTCAAGCAAAACAAAAAAGAATAGGGGGTTGCTTTTTGGTCAATTGCTTACTGGGCTTCATGAACGAGGTCTTGAGTTATGGTTCCCAATGACAATTCAAGGACTTCTTCACGGATCGAACTTAGCCAAACGATCGCTCGTTGGCGAGACGCTGGATGTACAGTCATGTCTTTATTCCAACCATTACCGTCTAGTCGCGATATCTGTAGCTCTAACAGCTCGGCAGATCCGACAATGGCCGAGTCCGAGAGGTCAAGGGGCAACTCTATGGTACAGTAGTTCCTATTCAAACGTGGTGGTCGACCGACAAACGTCGCCAGGGACTTATCTAGCTCATATGATAGGGCAATGGCTCGTTTTCGAAGCTCGACCAAGTATGTTGGGACATTCATGTCATCTTGAAAGCCTTTGTGATAATTGAGGGCGAATATGGCGGAAGATAAATTTCCCATTAGACGCCAGGCCTGACAAGAGTCATCACCAAAACACCAAGTGGAGAGTGTCGTGGCCAGGACCGCAAGCCACACGGATAGGTCGTTCATTTGGCCAACGCGGTTGCACAGAGCCTCGCATCGTAAACATGCATCAAAAGCATCGCTGGACGTTGCCTTACGGTCGCTAAACCGCTGGCGACCCGAGAAGCTGGTGCTGAGATTTTTGGCCGATGCAAGAACCATCCCGATGAGCGCGAAATACATGCCAACAGTTTCCCATCGGATAGCACAAAGCTCCTTTTCAAGAGCACCGTCTGCGGCCGTCGTGGGCATGTTAAGTGGCCGAGAAGTGTGGTCAAAGATGTCCCGAGAAGTTGCCTGAAGGCGATTCAGTAGTCGACTAGAATGAAGGCTCTGCAAATTGCTCTGGACGGCGCGCCAAGCCGCCTTGGCTAGAGGACCACCAACTGGACTGTCTCCAAGATCTGTATACCAGTTGTGGACCAATTCTTCGAGATCTGGATGGGAATAGTGGTCAAGCAGCAGTTGCAGTAAGTTCTCGCCCTCCCTTATGAGGGAAGAATTCGTGTGGAATGGTTGCTGCAGATGAGAAACTCCAGTGCGAGTTAGCGACGTATATTGACGCGAGGATGTCGTTTGATCAGCTTCTGTTGGTGACAAACCGGAAGTTTGCATGGTAACCAAACCAGTAGCAAGATCAAACGCAGCAGGAATGGACGAGGCCGAAGAAGACGGCAGGGATGAGGATGAACTCGAGGACAATACTGTCAAGCTTGATACCTCTGCCAAGGCCTCGAGCGGCCGCTGGGTAACATCGGCTGGAGCCCTAGAGAGATCCGACAAACATGTAAGTTTTCAACCGCGAAAAAATTCGAGTGAATCAAAGACTGACATGACTTACAAAGCTACGGTTACACGCGACTCGCTGCGCTGGCGTCGAGCCATTGGCGCAGGGTGATAGAAGCATTGGTCTGTGAGCCGGCGTCTGGCGCAGCGAGCACATTGAGGTCGACCATGATCACAGCGCAATTTTGATTTGCGGCAAGGCTCACACGACGACAGCTGCCCATTCCGACGGACAGTATCAGACATCTTGGCGAGAAGCTTGGCGTATCGCGGCGTCCACCTGTGGAGAGAATGTCTAAGATTGGACGCTTATTATTATACCAACAGAACGCTTCCCCAGTTCAATGTTGGTGTTGGCTCAATTCGCATTCAGCGTGGGAACGGCCTGATAAGCCTAGCTTCCCCACCTGCGCACTCACCAGGGCGAACAGACGTTCGACTGGTGCACAATCCCAAGGCAGCCTCAAAGGGCAACATCTCCGCTCCTGTGGCGATATATCCGTTCCTTCAACGAAGTCCCCTCCCTCTCCGGTTGTTTATTATCCGTCTCTCCGGTTTGGGGCTAGAATGTGTGAGGAGGCCAGCTGGATTTTTGATCAAGCGGCATGTGCTAGCGTGACTCAACCTGAGACTCAGATGTCGGGACAGTGAAAGCGTTTTGAAACATCTTGTTGAGTGGACGAGGCCAAGAGTGCCTGGCTTGTGGTTCATCGACACCACTCTATAAAACAATTTGCGAAGCATCAAACTGCACAAATGAGCTGTTGCTCCTGCCAAGCCAAAGAGTTCAATCGCATGGTGCAAAGGGGCTACCATTGTCTTGTACAGTTTGATGAAATCATTGTATTGTATGTCGCTATGCTGTTTTGTTCGAACAATCAAGAGAGATCTTTATCCTGTAAGAGCAGGTCTAGGATGGAACTTCTGTTCATGGCATATGTCGGACATGTGCATATCAAAAGTCCCTGGAAACGGCCGTTTAAATTCTTGCTTGCAGACTGCTTTTCCCCTGCAAGCTGTGTGTTGTTGGTCACTACCTAGGACATAAAATAGATGGTTCGGCTGAGTCCTGATCAAGTTAGGGCGACATCCCTGCAGCGTCGTATAGATGGATCAAATGGTATTCTGTGTTGGTCGCTTTACACAGTAACGGATCGTAGCCATCAGTTCAATGCATATATCTTGGATACATTTGTTGCTACGAGATTATAGAGTTCTATCTCTTCCTGCCCACTATTCCAAAGGCTAAACTTGTTACTGGATGCGTGCTACTGTAATGGCTGATTATAAAATGGGTTGCCACTATAGTGACCCCGCGCCACAACACGCACTATCGCTGCATACATGTAACCTACACGATAACTTCAAACCAAAAAAAGAAAACGCCATAAATTCAATTGTACAAAGCTACTCAAATATATGAGAAACCTAGACTTTATAACTCAATACACTATATAGTAAACTCGGGCTATGCGTACTTTCGCGAGGCGGTGAGGCATTGGCTTTAGGAGCCTGTCTGTCATATCCTGGTCACGGTATTAGATCCCAAGCCTCCTGACCTAATAGCGCGGTATCTTTGGCGTTGCACTTAAGATCTCGTGGCTCCGGGCAGATCTGAACGGGCCAGTTCTCTAGGGCACTCCAGATGTACTCAATCGGATTGAGATCCGAGCTGTGAGACGGCCCATCGATGTAGGCGATGCCGTGCAGTTGAAGCCAGCTAGGTTATGTGATTCATTAGGGGCCGGCGGCCATCCCGTCCCCGCGTCTTATGTCTCGTCGCAGGGATGCTTAGACTAAGGTGTGATCTCGGTCTTGGGCGTCAAGGTCTTGCCGCGCAAATTCAATGTATGCATTGTTCATACAAGTGTCTACATAAGCAACACGCGAGTGACTTCCCTCTCACGCTGCCCATAACCATTACCCACCACATGCTGGGCTGCTCATCGTTGGATCGATTATCGTCTGACTCATTCGCAACAAAAGCTCAACTCCGCCATTAATATCGTCGCTAAGGCATAAGTGTTCCCCATTTTCATCTTTCATAGTCGTGTGTTTGTCCGCTGTGTTTCTTGTCACACACACATTGGACGAGCCGATGTACTACGGATGCTAGGTCCGACCAAGCAGTCACTATCCGCAACCTAGCAGTTGCTCCACGTCGTAATAATGGCAGCCGCGGAAACTGAGAATACAGAAGCTCTTTTGCTCCCAACACGTGCATTGGAGTCATACGGATACGGTCGGCCAAAGGATCCACAAATTCCTTCTACAAGAAAAACAGGCTGGAGCGGGCCTGCTCGCTTGTTGAACTGAAGCAGTTGAGGACGCTCAAGATTCTAGAGGTTGAAATGGAATCCGAAAATATCACTTACTTCAGAAAAGAAGGCTAAACACGGCACTGTTACGTCCATTGCCGGAACCAGCGATGAGTTGTGCCGTGTTAGGCTCAGAGCAAATATTGCGAGTCTGGTTTAAGGAGGGGAAATTGAACAGTCCGCTCAAAAACGAAAGTGGAGATAATCTCATTGTCCTCGCTATCGAGAGCAACAATGCTTAAGTTTGCGATTTATTGGTCAGACATGGAGCCGATCGCATGAGCGACTCCCGAAAGGTGAGCCGTCGTGACAGCATTGCTCAGGCTCAAGGCAGGGAGGGGTGCGTCCCAAATGCCACTCTTCCAAGGTAGAGCCTTATTTCCTGATCAGGGCTACCAAGCTCGACGATATTGGAATCAATCGAGAGCTACTTCAGCGCGGTGTTGACTTCTCGCAGGGCTATCAAAAAATAAGCCATGGGTTGCCTCTCGTCCTCGCGGTCGGAAAGTTCCACGCGGATCTAGTGGCACTCCTACACAAGTATGTCGATAATGTGCCCTGATGGGAGTACCATGGCATCATAATGATGCGCTGTCTAGGAATTCTTTAAAATCGAGCACGATTCTGCTGCTGCACCGCTGCTGCTGTAAATCGCGTGTAAGGATTGCGAAGAACAGCCACAAATTTGAAACAGCTAATCGACTGGGGCGCCAGCCTTAATGCCACCAATATAGACGGACTGCGTTACATGTCTGCATTGATCTATATAGCGACTGTAAATATCTGTGGGAAGAGTCCGCGGGGAGGTCATTTTTGCTCTTAGACCACGGCGCAGATCAGAACGCCGCGGACTAGAATAGCACGCTGCTATTCGTGCCTGCGTGCTTAGATGCTTTTGTGCCAGCACCTATTCTCACAGTGCTCATCTTCACAGGAGCCGGTTTGAACAAGGCTGCGGGAGCCAAACATCACTTCATGATCCCGCTAATCGCCGCCGAATTTTGCCTCGTCTATAATGACAAAGCTGACGATGAGCTACATTAGACAAAATTCTGTGAAAATCAACGGCCTAGACAGTGATAACAGAAGCCTCTCCGTAGAAAAGCACCCGCGAAGCTCATGGCAAAGGTGTCAGACAGAGCCGACATTTTGGCAGCGCTGTTAGCCAAAGCGACAGGCATCTAGAGCTCTATGATGTATTCCACCGAGCTGGTGCCAGGCACTCGGATGAGCACATTAACCGACTTAGAGTACCACAATAATGCTGCAATTGTATTCAATAGCCTGACCTCTCTCCTTACGACGTAGTGAACGCGATGCTGCCATTGGCAGTTTCATCTTGTGCTCATCTCTTAGCTATCCAGCATTTTAGTTATCAAGGGAATGCGATGTCTATCACATACCACATACTGTACTGGCTGTCTTGGATTACACTCCAATGCATCTTTTCTAGCCCGCGTCAGACGCGTCAGATTCCTATTTCGGTGGACTCTCCTTCGTCTTCATTTATCACAACAATTCCCTCTTCGGCTTCCAAATTTCCTGGTTTAATTATATCTCTATTAGAGCTTAAGCTTGAGTCTAGGTCATGACAGAAAGCAAGAGCCTGGTAGTACACCCCCATCAAAGTCACAAGCACAGGCACAGGAGCAAACATCCCATGGCCTAGTCTGACCCAGTCTCCCCAGGGATGTAGGGTTATCAAATTTGTAGCTTCCACAGCTGTGGCCATGATATAAAATACTAAATACTAAGAGAGATAGACTCTGGGATTTTCTTTTATTATAGCAGGCCGTCGTCTCCCGTTGGTTTCTAAAAGTCAATATCTAGTCGCCATGGCCTTGCGTGCAAAACCTCTTTCATGCACGGGCTAGGATACGGATCTTCTCACAGTACCGCCTTGATTCAGCCATGGCGATTTAGCTCACCAAGTGAGCATAACACCGGAAACTCGTGCAGTTTTCAGAGTTATAGCTGTACTTGTAACAGTCTTTTAAGTCGCCGCGATCGAAATTGTTTCTCAAACCTTTAGAATATCACATTCTCGCCCGGCTGCTCCCCACGGCCGATGGTAGCAATATACTGAAGGGCGAGACAAAGCTTGTCTCGTAGATCAAGAGTCGCTGGAGAACGGCGGAAGGGGATTGCTTTAAATGCTGTGCTTTGGACACGACTGACGATGTATGTAACATATTACGGATGGAGCGAGATGAGATCATCTCGCCTTGCTGTGCTGCTTGCCATGGCCTCTAGCGCGTGAAGGAGTCTGAGACTTTGCGATCGCGGTCTATATGGGCTAAGAAACCGAAGGAGTGCGATGATTAAACATGAAAAAAGGAGGAGGCCCTGTCCACGAAGAGTTGCATGCAATATCACAAACACAAAGCAGGCAAGCAAGTAGTGAGAGGAGGAGTGATGGGGGCAGTTGCGAGGGAAGCATGGCGAAATTTTAGTAAAACAAGAATGCTATCTCTAGAAAGTAGAACTACCTACCTATATGTTCCTAGCTTATTAAAATAAAAAATTTGTGTATTTAGTTATTCACGTTATAAGTATTGCATAGGATATGTTCATTATAATAGTTATAATAGTAGTATGTTTTGTTGTAATAAATTCCAAGTAAAACTTTTTGTAAAACATTCGACGTATTCTTACACTTGTACTTCTTTTTCCCTTCTCTTTTTGCGTAAGACAATGATTGCTACCACACCTAGAATTGACAGCCCAGCTAATACTAAAAGTTAGCGTCAACCTTGGCTGGGAGGTCATATTCTCAAGGAAGTTGTACCTACTGCTCCTACTATACCAATGAAAACACCGCTTTGTCCCGATATTGTCGCAGTTGATCTTTTAGCAAATATTGTGGCGGGAGTGGATGCTGCGTTTGCTTCGGCGATATTCCACTTCGGCGCCTGAGGATCAACCGCTGACGTTCCCAAGTCAGGAATTGCGAGGGCCGGTGCCGCTGTTGCAGTTACTGCCACAGTCACTGGATTTGCGCTCACGGTTAAAGGCATAGTGACAATGTTCGTAGATGACGGTGTAGTGACTGTTGTAATCAATGCTATAGCACTGTTCCGTTCTACCAGTTTCGCCAGAGACAATGCTACAAATGCGTGAGCAGGTAAGAAGGATACGCCCAGGATAGTTGTTGTTGTAACTACTCTCCACGTCTTTTGCCACCTGTCCTCTTTATATAACATGTGGAAATCTTGGATAAAGAGTAGAACCTTGAAAGTCTCCGTCCTGGTCGATCTTATGCCAGTAAGGTGACCCCTGGTGGAGCTTGAACCACCATCAGGGGTTGCCAAGACGCGCCCACTTTCTCTTTGCCCTGGTTCCGATGCGCAAATTGGTACTCTACCTATCTAAAGACTCCACAAGCAAGGAAGATTCATCCAGCTTACAGTATCATCGGGATTACGCAAGATAGCTGGAGATCTAGCGAGTCTAAGCCCCGGAGGCGGGCGGTACGAGAGCTCCACGGCAAGGGCTTTTGCATTATCAAGCGCCATCGGTACAGTATGTACTTCACCATCAAGGTTTTCGAGGTCATCAACAAATCTTACTTCGTAGCATGTCAGTGTTTCATCGCTTGGCATTACATCTAGCACCCTGTTGATACAAGAGAGACATCAAGAACGTTGTATACATTAATACAACGTTATGCAAACTATAAACATTGAAAGCGGTTCTTTTGTTTTTGCTTAATGCTTTGCCATCCGTGCTTTTGCTCAACATACCCTTGCCTCTCCTTTAAATACCAGGCAGTCTCGCTCTCCCGCGTTCCCTCGATTCTGCTCAGAGTAGGACCCTCATCTATATGACTTGATCGAGAATCGACATGGACCAGAAGGACAACTGCAAACCTGAGAAAGATGTCTCGCCTCAGCTGACCATCGTTGACTTGAGTGAAGACAGAGCAAGTCCAAACGCCACAGACGCACCTGGAATACTGTGTGTCTCTTCAGATGCAATAGCTCCGGCAGCAAAAGTAGAAGAAACGGGGGCCGTTCCGGGCATTGAATTGGGACAGCCATATCATGTATTCTCGAAGGGCCGAAAAAGGTTACTCGTGGGCGTCATCGGAGTCGCAGGACTGTTCTCGGGCTTGTCGTCAAATATCTACTTCCCATCACTAGACGCAATCGCAAAGGTAAGTCAATTGCGTGCATCTTTCGGACATTGCTGACGAGAGAGCAGGATCTCAATGTTAGCATCGACGCCGTTTCCCTGACCATCACATCGTACCTCATCATTCAAGGCGTGTCGCCATTGCTTTGGGGTTCGCTATCGGATACGGTGGGACGGCGGCCTATTTATATCGCTTCTTTCACGGTCTATATTATTTCCAACATTGTGCTTAGCCTTTCTCCCAATTTCGCCATTCTTTTGGCCTTTAGAGGCCTGCAAGCGGCAGGTAGCGCCTCAACTGTAAGCATTGGTAAGTTCTCTGTGATCTACTTGGCTCTCTTAACAGCATCATTGACACTCTACCAATTCAAAGGGAATGGCGTTATTCAAGATATCGCTGCACCATCCGAAAGAGGAGCTTATATCAGCTTCTATCAGGCCAGTAAGTACAGTATCATCACCTGGACAAGCATAAATACAATCAACAAAGCTCACGCGAAGTTCACTTAACAGTCCGTAACTTCAGCATCGCTATTGGTCCAGTTTTAGGTGGCGTCTTAGCGAACACCTTCGGCTTCCGGTCCATCTTCATTTTTCTCGCCATACTTTCCTCACTAGTTATCATAATGGTCATTCTCTTTCTGCCTGAGACACTGCGTACCATTGCTGGCAACGGCTCCCTGCGGCTCTCTGGTATTTACAAGCCACTCGTTGCGAGGTTCACTGCGGAGCAACCATACATGCAAGACCCTGATGAAACGGTACAGCGAAGGAAAGTGACTCTCATAACGTTCATCGAGCCTCTAAGGCTTCTGGCGGAGAAGGATATCGTCCTGAATCTGCTGTTTGGGGGCGTTGTGTATGCCATTTGGAGTATGGTGACATCTAGTACCACAAACCTTTTCAAGTCACGCTTTGGCCTCAACGAGCTTCTCCTTGGCCTAGCTTACCTACCCAACGGTAAATTTATCTTTCCGCGAACAGTCCACTGCTCTAACCTTGGCTAATCGATACTTCTCTTACAGGTTGCGGCACCATCGCCGGCTCTGCTATGATTGGCAAACTCATGACGCGCGACTATAAAGCAGCCGAGGTGGCCTACAAACTTGCGCACAATCTACCACCCTCGTATAAAGTACCGGCCAAGGATATCCCAGCCGATTTTCCCATCGAGCACGCACGTCTACGGCACCTGCCGTGGATCGCAAGCCTCTTTACTGTATCCACCGCCGCGTATGGCTTTTCACTCGCATACCCGTCTATAACGTCCAAGCCCGGGTGGATCGCGGTGCCGCTAGCTTTGCAGTTTCTAATTGCCGCGATGAGCAATGCCGTCTTCGCGCTCAACCAGACGCTTGTGTCGGACTTGTGTCCCGGCAAAGGCGCTAGCAGTACAGCCATTAACAACCTGGTACGGTGCGGACTTGGCGCCGTTGGAGTTGCGTTTGTCGAGAATATGATTACCAACATCGGGTCCGCGTGGGCCTTTCTAGGTTTAGCATTAATCACTGTAGCAATGGCACCATTTGCTGCAGTCAACTGGTACTGGGGTCAACAATGGCGAGCTGCAAGAACAAAAAGGAAGGCCAAGACCGAGGAGTAGAAGATACGCAAAAGTTCGATCCCTTGCTAGTTTCGATGATACATTAGAATGACAGGAATAAAACATGGTTCAAAACGGGAAATTGTGGGCTTGCTTGTCATCTTCATCCTACCGTCTTTAAGGCTTGTCTTTTTTTAAAATAAGCATAAATAGATCTAGAGAAAGAAGGTGGAGCACAAATGTCACTGGAGTCAAGATAACAATGGGCAGGGATTCCGCTAGACAGTCGCTGGGGTCCATCTTTCCACCGAGTACGGAGTATCCAATTCTTGGCAGCTTTGTGTGCAGTCTCACCGTGCAATTAGGCAGTTACATCACAGCGGCCATATTGTGGATAAAGGTAAACGCCAGGATGATAAACATCGCGACGCCGAGTGCTACATAACAGAACTCCTCCACTTCTAAGCCCGAGCTTGCCACCAACCTACTAGGTAGAACCTAGCGTGAACATATGTGTCGTAGCCCAGAGCAATGCTAGTTCAAGAGTGCTAATTCTGTCTCTATCAACTTTACCAGTGGTATCCGGTATAAAGGTTGCAGAGAATTAAGACAAAAAAAAGGCATTCTATCCAACAGCTACAAGAAATCCCGATGTCGCCTCATTTACTACCAAACCCAGCGATTACTTTGTTAGGCAATTTTGTAGCAATAACAAGGATGATATTGCCGAAGAGAAAACCGGAATTTCCGATGGTAACAGTGCCATTCATCTTAGCGCATGATAAGACAGAGCGAAAGATATGGGTATGTACCAAGCAGTTTGTGAAAAAGGAAGGGCAAGAACATCATTAGCTTACAAACCAGGATAATACGCCCAGCTGAGGAATAGAGTCCCTTCCTATGTAAGTGCTTGTACTTTTATCAGTAGGTGAATATTCGTGCTGCGGTCCCAGTCCTTTTGCAAGCGACTTGATACAGCCAAGAAGCCAAGAACTAGGCATCTGATACAATATGCCGCTAGATTGCGCGGCCTCCGGTCTGCCCTTGTAGCGCGAGTGCATCTGCCGGAAGTGATCGACGCTATCATTATCCGCTGCTATCTTTGTCGCTGTCATCTCGGAAGTCTTCCGGTGCGATAAGTCATTCCCCTGCAGGTCGCCCACCCTATTTTACACACGCATGTTGCGAAAAGCAAACTGGGCATAACTCTATACTATATATATACCAGCCAAAGCTGTGAAACAGTCCTTTGGTAGTTAAATAGCTCTTTAGTTAAGTCTAGTGTATCGCAAAAAGGACTCACAGGCTAGCTGTAATTCCAAAATGTTCTAATATTGATATCTGAGGGCATTTATAATAGCGGAGACGGCTGTTCCAGATTAATGTCCGCCTTATATCCAGATGTAGCTGTACCATGTCTTAATCTCTCTTCGGCCACTGCTTGTTAGAATTAGGTAGATCTACTACATCTACAACGTTGTCGTGGCTCTCGCTTGCGGTCTTTGACATCCCAGGTATTTATAGAAAGACATGGGATTATCAAAGGCAGAGTTTCAACAACCACATTTTGTAACAATAGCCGGGCCATGTCTGTGTTGCTCCGGTACATTGCATGAACGAGTAGCGGTATGAAGACCCACGGGCTTGTCTTTCCGATGTGGAACCCAGTCCCCCGAATCGTATCATGTCTCGCTGCGGCATGAACGATCATCGTCCTCAAGTTGCAGCACGCGCCATTTACCGGCATGCTTTTAATAATCGCATTGAGTATACTGCTAGGGAGCTAGAATTATAGCTATGCTTGAGTGAGCCCAGCTAAATTTGCTCACCAGGGCTTCGGCAGTTCTCAGAGACCCTCTTATCACAGCGCTCATCCAAATGAGATCAGCCTCGCTGCGGGCAATGTTTACAATTACTCATTTGCCGAGAAGAAGTCCTATTAATTCAACATCTCATGATTTACAATCCACTGTGGCGTTAATTTGCGAAACCGTAACCGCTTGATCCAATCGTTTCATACTGCGGAAATCGCGAGTACATCTGTGTGCGCTCAGTAAAGAGCCGCCTCAAGGATATGATGCCTCTTTGGGATTACGCTGGCTGGATTGCTGAGCCGAGTTGTACCTATAGGTGATTTTATGTGGAAGTGCTGAAAGGTTGCCTTTTCACGAGATCTCTCAATCTGGCGTTATTCTTGCGATGCCATTGTAAAATTGAGATGCATGAGATCGTTTTCTAATATGAGCTCCGAGTTATGATGACCTTCAATAAGTGTTGTGAAGTTTTCCGATGGATGAGAACAGTTAACTAAGATATAGAATGATTTGCGGTTATGGAATATAAGCTTTGCTTTCAGCAAAGGCCGGTATTTACCATTAAGGTTGCATTTCCACTCTCTTCCTTATCTTGTTTTCTGCGAGGCTTCGATAATTTATTCTTTACTATTTTAGTTCCATCGGTAAAGGCATCGTGTGAGTGCTATAGGAATGCAAACTCACCCAAACAAGGTCACAATTGTATATCATACCAAGTTATCTTGGGGCTTTTCCAGCCATTTCAAGTAATTTGATGATAGATCGCCTGCAGACAAAACCAGTTAGCCATGAACTCCATTGATTACCCTCAGTAGATATCCCTGCCATAATAGCAATCTTCAGTAGGTGTGAGCCAGAAGCGAATTAAAGACAGTTAGAACTGTTTGCGCCGCGATAAGAATAATAACGGCTGGGTATGTATTGATACAAAATTCTGTATTGATAAACGAGACTTTGTGCCCATGCCAATCGCAGGTGGTAAAACGCATCCGGCATTGCATCCTGACAACTATAGTTGCAATTTTGACCAGTCTTGCGCGTCTTGGCGCCACCCTAACCATTGCGACATCTGATCACAAAGTCGGAATAGCCATATGGGTAGGTGTCATCGCTTTGACATCTTGTTGTTCTTTGGTACCGGGATCAGGGATCTGTCCAACTGTAGTAGTACAGCAGGCTGATTGATAACTAGATCTACAGCTTGCGGTGATGCTGTCAACATTCGCTTCGTCATTATTGCAGCCGCCTTTGCATTTGCCGTTGTTATGGAAGCCTCTTCATAGTATGTCTGCTGATGCCGGGCAGCAAAGACCTTGCTCCTCTTTTGAACCAAGAGTACATTCGGTTGCATCCACCATGACGTGCGATATCATCGCCGCGAGTGATTCGTGTAAAGTCGTTAGTGGCAAAAATCGCCAAAGTTGGCAAACTGGCAGCACTGCTATTGACTGTTTCCACTCCCTCCAGATGGCTTCTGATTTACAACGACAGTGACGCCTTTCCGCTTCTCTACGTTCAAAGGATTGCCCAGAGCGGCCGCAAGATTATTAGAGTAGGAGTGAGAACTGTTGTCCTAATTAACTGACCGGACTAAAACACCACCGAGACATGGTGTTCTCATCATTAACATGTCGAAATACACCCATTGATCTAATTTTTACTTAACGGTTTTGACAGCTGGATCTTTTTGAATAGCTGTTGTTAAGTCATTGTCGTTAACTGTAGCAGTATTCTCGTTACTCAGCAGTATTCCAACTTAGCCACTGCAGAGCCCTGCAACCCCAGCTGAGGGGTATAGGTAACCTGGCTTGGTATATGAAGAAATCTGAAAGGTATATCTGCGGCCGTAGAAGGCAAGATCCATGTTCACTTTGGAAGGCTTGATCCCGTTACGCCGGAGCGAACCAAGAGCCGTTTCAATCTCTGTAAGGTTGATATCAGCACGCAGATAAGCACCAGTCCATTGGTTGCCAACATCCCAGGTTCCTTGAAGGTCATAACTCAGTCTCTATCGATTTTCTTATTGCAGGGCTCACACTAATACAAGTATACTTATAGATTACATAGCTTCATTTCCCGATGTTGATGATATTACGCAGCTTCCATAAGGCTATATTCGTCCGTACTGAAGCATCAACTGATCATAACTGTTACAAGGCAACACTTACACAGATCTCTACGTACGGCGATAAATTTGAGTCGATGCTTGGTTATGTTGCTGGAATATGCCAATTGGACACACATAGCCGTGGTGTTACTGAAGTGTTCAATACCACGGCGAAGGATGGCGTTACCGATGCCTGCGTCTCTAGCAATTACTACGCGACGAAGCAAGATGACACATGCGGCTCTATTGCCTTGTCTCACAGGCGTCTGCTGCTTTTCTCTATCACATCTATGATAATAATAATAACCTAATATTCATCGCATCTGGTGCCAAGCTTTATCTACCATCTGTCCTTTATCACGATGCTCATCTCGAATTGCAGCAACATCCGACAGGTCCTTATTAAGGAATAGCCGTCTGCATGATACCTCAAAGGGGTACATGCAGCGGTCAACTCTTCCTGTCTGCATCGGAGTATGATAACAGGAAATTACGTCGTTGTTGGTTATCCTCGTCGAAAGGAAGTGTCACCCGCATTAGTTCGGACCAGCTTTCTAATTCCACCAATATAGAACAAATTTGGGTGGACGCCTAGGCTGCATTGAACACCTAGTGTTGCGTTGCGACCAACAGCATGTTTGCATGGAGTTGCTTGTAGGCCTAGATATGTGTTCCATCAAAAATCACACCTTGCATTAGCCCCAATAGACCCCCCTGCCATCTACAATATTTTCAGCTCAGCTACTGTGCTCCATCATGGCAAGGTAAGGGATTATTATGGCTTGATGGCTGCCTGCGGAGACGCCTTTGCTGGACTTCCATGGATCTTTTATTATTTAGTGGAGGGATTCTTCCTTTTCTATAGGTGACACGTGCCAGCTCCTGAATCGTCCTCCCAGTCATAATTACACCTGTACACTCCAGCGCTATGTTTCAACACGCGGACCTAATGCGATAGAAGAGAAGGAGACATCTACCACCTTACTAATACTCACCTTGTGAGTAGTTTGATAGCGTGTCGCCAGTCATATCCTTGTGTTCAACAAAAGCGCTGTAACTCTGCAGTGCAAGAAACACATATCGGCAAGATGACTGAAAAGTCGTCTCGTATCTCGGCGTCGCTGTATACCGGATTTGAT